AACTCACACTCTTACCTACACTGTAGTATGAGAGCCGAAACTATATGACTGGGAAAAGCACAATTAGAACATTTGATTAATTTAAAATGATATTCCTACTGACAACTATAGACCTTCAGTTAATTATAAAGTACAATTAGAACATTTGCTTAATTTAAAATAATATTCCTACTGACAACTATAGACCTTCAGTTAATTATAAAGCACAATTAGAACATTTGCTTAATTTAAAATAATATTCCTACTGACAACTATAGACCTTCGGTTAATTATATGGTTTTGAATAATTAGATGAGTTAACATTTGAAGAACGTTTTCGTAACAGTCAAAAGACTGGTTTCTTTGGTCACGATTTAAAAAAAAAACACAAAGCAGGTGGTGTATCCGTACATCATCTGGCCTTAAAAATTAGCGTAGCTAGCCCTCGAATACTTTCGTGCGAAAAATCAATAAACAAATAAATCGCGATTTTTCTAGAATATTTTAACAACAACAAAAAATTGTGAAATAATTGTTTTACTTTGTAATAACGAAAGTTCCTCTATTTTATCAACCCGCTTTTAAAGGGGGAATTTTCCAAGCATTTCAATAGTTTATTTCACAACACGAGTTATCTTTATGAGCTCCACTTTAAACGAAATAACGTATTTGGTAAGGAAAGGAAGAATATTTTTGAAATTTCTCATAGGCCTTATTATATGAACCAGATTAATCTTGGAAATAAATATAGTCAGAACCTTGACGTAACTTCCGCTTGTTCTAACTAATTATGGACATATCGGTCTGACTGTCATCGTGGGAATAGGATAGACGATAGATTCGTGACGTCATGTGGTTTTGTCCTATAAATGTGGGCGGTTCCCGGTCACAGCAGAAAATTTTGTTCAAATATATAAAATGTTCTATGTACAAGGAACTTTATTCACTTTTCTTCTTCGACTAGAGCTATAGTCGTTTTTTTTTATTTTCATCTCGATCATCAATTATTTTTTTTTTTATTGAAATACACTCAAACAGCTCGTACATTTGGTTTCAAAGAAGCTGGCTAGCTATTGCCACCATACGCTTGTAGATTTGGTTCCAGAGAAGATGAAACATGGTCAAACAGCTCGTAGATTTGGTTTCAGAGAAGCTGGCTAACCATAGTCACTATACAGCTCGTAGATTTGGTTCCAGAGAAGATGAGCCCCTCTCGTAGCTGTTAACTCATAAATGTACAGACAATAATAATTATCTGCTACACGCAGATTACCCTTCGAGACATATTTTTGTCCGTTATTACTAACATTTATTGCCCAAACAGAATATCTAATAAAGGAACGATAGATTCTTCTTCTCTGAAACCAAATCTACAAGTTGTTTGGCGGCTACAGTTCTTCAGCTTCTCTGAAACCAAATCTACGAGCTGTTTGAGTGTGTTTCTTCTTGTTCTCTAAAACCAAATCTACAAGCTGTTTGAGTGTTTCTTCTTCTTCTCTGAAACCAAATCTACGAGCTGTTTGAGTGTGTTTCTTCTTGTTTTCTAAAACCAAATCTACGAGCTGTTTGATTGTTTCTTCTTCTCTGAAACCAAATATACGAGCTGTTTGAGTGTGTTTCTTCTAGATGTAAAAGTTATTGTTAGACCATATATATCATTGGAAACAGAGAGGTCTTAGTGCTTGATCTTGTTGCAGGTCGTTATTATATTTTGTTATTTTATGCTGTTCCTTTGTTTTGAGTATGTTATATATTTTGATGTTTTAGTGTATTTCAAATGATGCGGATTTTCGACCATCATACCAGCCCTAGTGTTGCAGCTTATTTGTAAATATTCATTTAATTTATAATTTGATCTCTCATGCACTGCCTTGTATGTCTAATTAATAAAACAATTATTATTTGTTCACTGTGTGTTGATATTATGTATATTATAATCACCAACATAACTCTAGACCATCTGGGGTTCAATTGTTTGGCCAACAAAATTTCATCTGATTGAAATAGCTAACCCGTTCTCCGGTGAGAAAGCGACAAGACTACAGACTTACAACACTAAAATCCGGGGTTCGATTCCCCACATTGAACATAGCAGATTGCCAAACATAGAAGCTCACCCAGTAATTATTTAAGGGGTTTTAATAATCCCACTTACCTTAGAAATACAGCTAGATACATTATGGAGTGTAATTATTGATTTATTTCTCTGTATTTGAAATTTGTAGATTGTCATTAAAAATATTCAGAAAATATTCAATATATATATCTAATACCCCCTTGGCTGTATAGTTTCTTCTTTTTTTTTTGTCCAAGTGTTTAACGCTCTCTACTTTCAGCTGTAGGTGCGTTATAAGAGAGACAGTGAACTTCGTTATTCAGTTCAAAACCGGACAAAGTCCTTGAGGTGATGGCTGAATTCTAATTGGTCAGTAACTCAAAATTAGGGATGACTAGGCCTGAGCTCTGATGCGACTGTTTAGCCTAAGTCCACATCAGGTACCGTTTAGGATGAAAATATAAAATAAAATTTGTTCGGCAAACTTAGAAGACTTTTCTTATTCATGCTGCCGTAAGATGTCACTGTAAAGATTTAGCAAAATGCGTCCGATCACTTTCAATATTAAGAACGAACGTATTTATAACCGAGGCTTCCATGGTGTGACAACACTCATAGTTTTAATTATCCCTCATTATGACCTTGAGAGGTGATTGTTGTTTGAATAATCTACGAAAAACCAACCAATTAGCAACTGTTCTGTTTGTTTGAGAAAGGATGACTTTTAATCTTCAACAGCGCGAAGTAAAAAACAAAATAAATAACTATAAACCTCCTAAAAATTCGACAGACAACTAGAGAAGGTTTTCAGCGTCGTGACGACAATTGTCCTTGAATAGATATCGTTATATTTCCGTTTGTGTTTTTTTTACCCCTGTTTGTGTCAGCTATCTTTGAGTACCTTGTACTAATTTTGTCTGTTCCTAATAATCTTGTCGGGTAATAAAAATTGCTTCTTATGTGTAGCTGAAAGAAACTGAATGAGAACATTAAGGCTTAGTGCTGATAGAATATTCAGTATTGTGTTATAGGGCACTGTGAACACTAAGGCTTAGTGCTGATAGAATATTAAGTATTGTGTTATGGGGCACTGGGAACACTAAGGCTTAGTGCTTATAGAATATTCAGTATTGTGTTATAGAACACTGTGAACACTAAGGCTTAGTGCTGATAGAATATTAAATATTGTGTTATAGGGCACTGTGAACATTAAGGCTTAGTGCGGATAGAATATTCAGTAGTGTGTCATAGGGCACTGTGAACACTAAGGCTTAGTGCTGAGAGAATATTCAGTATTGTGTTATAGGTACTGGGAACACTAAGGCTTAGTGCTGATAGAATATTCAGTATTGTGTTATAGGCACTGTGAACACTAATTAGTGTTCACAGTGCCCTATAACACAATACTGAATATTCTATCAGCACTAAGCCGGCTTAGTGCTGATAGAATATTCAGTATTGTGTTATAGGCACTGGGAACACTAAGGCTTAGTGCTGATAGAATATTCAGTAGTGTGTTATGGGGCACTGTGTAGGATAACATATACAATCTCTGACATACTTTAGAATCTTAATTTACGTAATAAGTACAACCAGTTTCGCTGGTGCAGAAATTTGAACTCAGTCCAGTTTAGATTTCTTTGTGTGTGTATTTTTCAGACAACTTTAACACTTCAAACTACATTCAGAAAAGACTATGAAAATTATGCCTACTCATACTCTAAGGCGTGACGTCAGCAAACACGCGCAGAAGAGTATTAATAATTACTGAGGTATGTGTCACGAGATTTAAAGAAAAGGGCTGTTGCAATAAAAGCTGAAATAGTTTATTTTTAGTTATCTAATATTTTACTGAGTATTTTATTGTATATAATAGTTTTTACGTCATTCATTGGTTAATAAAATCTATGATGTATTTTAGAAAATGAAAATATACCACAGTTCACTGCCACGCCCAGTGTAACAAAAACTCCCCGTATGTATATCGTCATTTCCGGTAACAGACACGTAATCGCAATGTGAGACGGAAGCACGTGTTAGTTACTAGTATAGATAAAAAAGTACAGTGCGTTTTTAGGAACTTTCAGTTGCACAGCTTACCTCGTGCATCACAGAAGTGGTTAACAGTAATTACGTGGTTTTCATGGTAATTTAACGTTCTAAACGAAAAGCAGCCTTTAATTACACATTAATAACAACATGGCGATTCAGATTCTTAGGAGGAAATGACTATTTTAACAGCGCGTTGAAAATATTTTGTTTGTATTAATCCTATCTCTGCCGGGTTAAGCAACCATTTACTACTGGACGTTAAATGCTCTGCTGGGTTAAGCAGCCATTTGCTAATGGACGTTAAAAGCTCTGCTGGGTTAAGCAACCATTTACTATCGGACGTTAAAAGTTCTGCCGGGTTAAGCAACCATTTACTATTGGACGTTAAAAGCTCTGCTGGGTTAAGCAACCATTTACTATTGGATGTTAAAAGTTCTGCCGGGTTAAGCAACCATTTCCTATTGGACGTTAAAAGTTCTGCCGGGTTAAGCAACCATTTCCTATTGGACCTTTTAACATCCAATAGTAAATGGTTGCTTAACCCGGCAGAACTTTTAACGTCCAATAGGAAATCGTTGCTTAACCCGGTAGAGCTTTTAACGTCCAATAGGAAATGGTTGGTTAACCCGGCAGAGCTTTTAACTTTTAACGTCCAATAGGAAATGGTTGCTTAACCCGGCAGAAGCTCTGCTGGATTAAGCAACCATTTCCTATTGGACGTTAAAAGTTCTGCGGGTTAAGCAACCATTTCCTATTGGACGTTAAAAGCTCTGCCGGGTTAAGCAACGATTTCCTATTGGACGTTAAAAGCTCTGCCGAGTTAAGCAACCATTTCCTATTGGACGTTAAAAGTTCTGCCGGGTTAAGCAACGATTTCCTATTGGACGTTAAGACAATAAAATTCAAACAACCATTATTTTAGCAGCTTTATTTCTATATTTTTTCTTACAATGCTCTATTATCTTTCAACTTACAAACGAAACGGAGTTGTATACAACATTTGGAAGGACTTAGTTATCTAGTTACACACAAACTCTATGTATCACCAAATTTCACTTACTCATTCTTATTTTATTTTATTCAAAAATTACACAACCGGAAAGATAAGTTAAAATAACAACCACTACTTATACGTTAGTTATAATATTCTATAAGGTTTAGCAACAGAAAAATAATTTGTTTGCCGAGTTAAAATGGGGAAGAAATAAAAATCAACCAAAAAATCCTGGCTGTATCTGTCTGTGTGTCTGTATTTGTGTAAGATCGTTCAACTGTTTAGCTTATATCAAAGAGTATCACGTGTAGATGGCGTCAGAGAAAGATATCATACCTTAGTGATCCCAATGTTAGGGTAAATACTAAGTAGTGCCTTCTAAGTTCAGTGGACTTTATCTATGTAAATTTCGTCGTTCCGAATCGATGTTTCGATCTATGTGAGAGCTGCTCTAGCACATCGAAACGTCGACCTTTCTGAAATAAAGTGCTTTTCGCAACTTTAAAATTCTTTTTTTTATTAGAAAGTAGCTTATAACACATCTCGAAACCAACAAGTAACTTGTTGTTGAGAGGAGTTTTTTGTGGCACTTGAAAAGGGGGGTATGAATTTTCCTGCCAACAACTCTGCATAAAACATCTTTCGGGGGAGGGGGGAGATGAAGCTTCCTGCCGGCAGCTCTACGTGAGACATGTTTCAAGGGGGGGTATGTACCTTCCTGTCCACAGTTCTACGTATAATATCTTTCAAGGGGGTATGAACCTTCCTGTCCACAGATCTACGTAAGATATCTTTCAAGAGGGTATGGACCTTCCTGTCGACAGTTCTACGTGAGTCATCTTTCAAGGGGGATATGAACCTTCCTGTCCACAGTTCTACGTATGATATCTTTCAAGGGGGTATGAACCTTCCTGTCCACTGTTCTACGTAAGATATCTTTCAAGGGGGGGATGTTTCTTCCTGTTCACAGTTCTACGTATGATATCTTTCAAGAGGGTACGGACCTTCCTGTCCACAGTTCTACGTAAGATATCTTTCAAGAGGGTATGGACCTTCCTGTCGACAGTTCTACGTGAGTCATCTTTCAAGGGGGATATGAACCTTCCTGTCCAAAGTTCTACGTAAGATATCTTTCAAGGGGGTATGTAACTTCCTGTCCACGGTTCTACGTATGATATGTTTCAAGGGGGTAAGAACCTTCATGTCCACCGTTCTACGTATGATATCTTTCTAGTCCGAGACATCTTTAACGTCACCTTGAGATATTATTTTGAACATTTTGACATCCCCTTGGGATATTATTCTGAACATATTTGAAATCTGATTATCGAGGTGTTATATCGTTCATTTCCCAACCTAAAATGCTGAAAACAAGCGCAGAAGACTGC